GAAGGCCTGTCTTCTCAGTTCCTTTTCCCAATTATTCACGTTTTGCCCTCCACCCAAAGCTAGAAACTGAGCTGACGGACAGGAGGTCCGGCGTGCAGAGAGCAGGCTCGCGTCGGAGCCAGACCGGGGTGTGGCTCCGTGTGGAGCTGTCCGACCCGGAAGCGTGGATGGCTGCAGTTCACACGCCAGTGGCGCCCGTGGCAGAACGGACGGCGTGCACGCAGATGGCCGTGCGAGTCAAGACGGAAACCACGAATCCACGGGAACAGCTCAGAATGAAGGACGCCGCCGTAACAGAAACGCACCAGGCCTTTGCCAGGCTCGTCGGCCTGGACACGGCGGTAGACAGAGCCAGCCGGCCAGAAGAATGTGGTAGAAAACCTTCCAAACTGAAAAGTGGGAGAAAAACACAACACGAAAGCAGAGCAAGATGTCCGAGCGCCGTGGGACGCGTGCACTGAGGGGCGGCGGCGGGGAAAGGAACAGAGGGAATATTTGAAGTAACGGCCCAGGATTTTACACAACTGATCGTGGACACCAAGCGGCAGATCCAGAGAGCTCTAGGTGACCGAGCAGGCTAAGCACCCGAAATCCGTCCCCGAGCGGGTCCTTCTGGAGCCACAGAAAGCCGGAGATGACGGAAAGACGTTGAAAGAATCGGGTGGGTAGGGGTGACCTAGAAAGGAGCGAGGACAAGATTTGCATTGGACTTCTTTTCAGAAACCGCGAAGCAAATAGAGCAGTGTGAAATATTTTTATCGTTGGAAGGAAAAAATCTAGAATTCTGTGGCTAGCAAAATTATCCTTCAAAGTTTAAAGAAAAATAGACTTTCTCAAACCCAAGTCGAGGGAATTTGTCTCCAGCAGACCTGCCTTATAAAAAAAATGTTAACAGTTATTTGATAAAAGAAAAACGGTGCCTGCAGATCCACACGAAGGGGGCAGAGCGCGAGAGAGGAGTAAATGGGGGTGACGTCGTATTTGTTGTTATCCTTAGTCTGACAGAGAACTTTTGTACAGAGCGCCAAAGCAGCAACGTTCTGGGTGACTCTGCAGCTTATGGACAAGGGATGAGTGGCAGTGCCGTCAGGAGGGGTGGGGACAGGCCAGGGCTCTGCACGGGGAACGCGGGCTCTCTGTGAAGGGATGCGAGCCTCCGTGAAAGCAGACCCGGCCCAGCCGTAAATGTGTATCGCGAACTGTGGCAACTGAAAACTTTCAAAATGAAATACGGTGGACATGCTGACAGAAGAGAGAGAGTGGAATCGGATGAAATGCTCAACTAAACCAAAGAAGGCAGGAAGCGGGGGAGACAAGAAAGACAGGAAATGAAGGCAACAGAGGGAAAAGTTACCGGCACCGAGTGTCCTACTATGTCCAGAATCACCTTAGACGTTAGCAGTGCCAACGCACCAATTACAAGACAGAAACCGTCAGAGTGGTTAACAAGATGATACCCAAGCGTGTGTTGTCTGCCAGGAACCCGCGTAAGATGCGTACACACATGCGGATTAAAAGGAGAGAGATGGAGAGAGAGAGATGGCACTGACACTGGCCAAGAAGAGCACTGGGCCAGCGGTCTTAATCTCAGACACCGCAGACTTCAGAGCAGGGAGAGTCACTGGGGAGGAACAAAGCCATTTACCACTTAACGATAAAGGGGTCAGTTCTTTAAAGACATAACAGTTCTTAACGTGGACGCACCTAACAACAGACCGTCGCCACACAAGAGGCAAAAACTGACAGAACGTCAAGGAGAAATGGATGAATCCACGGTTAGAGTTGAGGCCTCTGGTGCCCCCACCGGAGATGGACAGACCCGGCAAGGCAGAGAGGTGGTAAGGGCATAGTCCAGCTCAACAGCGATCACCTGGGTCTGATGGACACTCATAGAACATTCTATCCGACAACAGCAGAATGTACATTCTTCTCAAGTTCACCTGGAACATTCACCAGGATAGGCCGCATTCTGGGCCATAAAACACTCCTGAGCAAATTTAAAAGAACAGAAATCACACAAAGTATACTCTGGGGCCACAGTGGAATTTAACTGGAAATCAATAACAGAAAGGTGGCCGGAAAATCCCAAAATACGTGTGTCAAAAGTTCAGAACTGACAGAAGTAAAGCCAGGGAGTCCCTGAGGTAATGATTAGCCAAAGTTGGCGGCGCACGCCAGCAAGACCGTGTGCAAACCCGAGCACTCAAACCGAGACGTGGAGTGAGGCTCCGGGGTGTGTCGT